CACGCTCAAACACACACATATACAAACACGAACACACTCTCTTCCTATCCTCCCCTCTTTCTCTCTCTTTCTCTCTCTCTCTCACTCACTCTCTCTCTCTCTCTCTCTCTCTCTCTCTCTCTCTCTCTCTCTCTCTCTCTCTCTCTCTCGCAGTAGTAGTAGTAGTAGTAGTAGTAGTAGTAGTAGTAGTAGTAGTAGTAGTAGTAGTAGTAGTAGTAGTAGTAGTAGTAGTAGTAGTAGTAGTAGTAGTAGTAGTAGTAGTCCTCATTAGGGCTTACTTATAATATAACAGACTCTGAAACGAATGATTACAGTGTGACTGATATTTATTTCCGTCTATCACTCCAAAACTTGTTAGATGTTTCAACGCTATTTTGAAGGCGTAGGCAGGAAACCATGAAATAATTAAGAATCATTCTCTATAATTGTAAAAAAGAAAAATTGTTTGTTGTAATTACTCGCAGCATTCTTAAACTATGACATGTGGGTGGTTGGCGGGTGCGTTCTGGTGTGGTTTGCTCATTGTTTTCTATCAAACATCAGACTGTCGTCTTTATCTCTCTTCCTTCATTTTTGTGTTTGTTACTCTCTTGTTACACCTCTAAACTTAGGCTCTTTAAATTGTGATTTCAGTGTGTTTAAAGTACCGTGAAACTCAGACTGAACTAAAACCAGTACACGAGCAAACTGTGGCGTTGTTAGTCTAGTGGTTAGGCTACCGAACTCGGAATCGTGAGGTTGCGAGTTCGGGGGTTCGAGACTCTGGCCCGAAGTTATGTCCTTGGGAAAGGCACTGTACACGAATGTTTCGTTACATCACCCTTGTGTGAATGGGTACCCGGTCATAGCAAGATGGTGTTAGCATGTTATAGAGCTTATAAAATTTCAGCTTGCAATGTATACTTACCAGGAAGTTGAGATTATTTCAGAATTCTAAAAGGTCTGCTTGGGTAATAATATTATAGATTGTAAAGTGCATAGAGGTAGCTGTTGAGCGGGCATTTGCACTATACAAATTTAGTGATATCTATTATTATTTGTTTTAATACCTGTGGTAATTTTCGACCTCCTTCCACCCTAAAATACGTTAGAGACGTCTTTCGTCATTGATTTTACGGTAAACTATGTGTGACCCATAGTGTGACATCACGGAGATTGGAAACATCTAGGTCAAATAACTTCCGAAATTGAGAGTTAAGTTTTACTACTGCCCAAACTTCAAACTGTCTCTCTCTGGATACTGTATACATGTAGGTGTTTCGATGTTCGTCCAGCATAGCGTTTCAGCTTGACATTAATATATGCTTTGCTTTTACAGACGGAAGAAAAAAATCCACAGATCGTACCTACGTTTTTCATACCTAAGGTATAGAGTTTACGCTCTTGTCCAAAACTATAAGACTCTTTCTCAAAGCAGGACCTCCGAATTCACTAACTTATTGTCTCCGATAAAACGAAGTTAAGTTGGTGGAGAACCGTGAAACTTAAGTTATTTGCCAGAAGTAAAGTTTCGTTGCAGATGTCCAGGCTTATCACTATAATATTATCATTGGCGTGAACAATAATTCTTAAATGGAATATTCAAAGCAGGTCATAGATCTTATATTTTCTCAATAATAAAGGTGATAAAAGTGAAAAGTCACAAACTTTAAAACATATACGCACAAACGCCTTCCGAGCGAGAAACTTGTGTGAAGGAGGCTCCCTGAAGGCTGACAGCTGAATGCGTTGGTAGCAATATCTGCAGAGACTTTTACTTAAAGAAACCGTTCTAATTTTTAAGTACACTATCGTATGTGATTTGATGATTTGACAAATAACTCCCTGTTATCTACTGACATTGTCGCGTGTAGTTAGAATAAGAAAACAAAATTACATAGTATGAAACCATTCAGGGATATTTTCACTCTTTATTTAAACACAACCCTATAATTAAATTTCATTTTCCAGTTTATTAAACACCCCCACCCCGACCCCAAAATATAAAAACTGTTCAGGCAGAAACTGTTCAAACGAATAATATAATATCATTTTTGGTTATTTTCAAGAACATCCATCTCACGACAGCGTGTCAAGATTTCGATTCAGTATTTAATAAATAAAAGCGAATCACGCGCCGTAATCTCCCCTAGGATATAATAACTCTACTTCCACCTCGTCAAGCTGTAGAAGCGCCCAGAACTTTCAAGATAGGAAGTAGTGTTTCCTTTCATATTCCAAAATCTGATCTATCAGGTCTTCTGCCTGCAGGCATTCACAATCATCATTTTTATTTCCAATAAAAAAGAATACAAAGAAAATGTGACTTCACCTTCTGCCTGGAGCAACAAAGAGGAACGTTCCCTTTGATGACGTCTTGAAGAAACATAAAAGATGTCTATTTGTTTAGAGCTATCAAGCCACTAATATCAAATGTAACAACTTTCTATGCGTTTGTATTTTAAAACCGAAAAAAAAATTGCAAAGGTGACAAGAAGAGTGTTCAATGTAAAGTAATTTCTACCGATTTGCTCTCTAAATTTGGTCCGCGGTAACATGACAATTAATAGCCATGACCAATTTTTCTTTTCGATCAATAACGCTTCAAATTTTGTTTGAATATCGTGAGCGATGTATTTATTTAATTTGTTCAATTTGTTCATGGCTTTCTTCACAAGTGTCAAGCAATTTGTCGTTTTCATGGTTCGTGATTATCACCTGGAAATTGCCTTTCTAACCGAAGAAAGGCAATAGCATTGATTTGTGATTAGATACTGCATTTATTGTGTCTGCGCGATTCTGATCGAGAAGATTGTTCTGTTTTTCTTCTAAGAATCAAAGTTTAATATTTAGAAATAGTTTCGAAAGTGTCCGGAATCCAGTCATCACTTTGCCCTTTGCCCTATGCATTTTAGAGTAAAACACAAACGACTAAAGCGTTTGGATTATACTTGATCTTCCAAACGTTTAACAGACTCATTATCTCGTGTGTCACACGGAGTTCCCACGGGCAATTCATTTGGTCCTTTTGAACTGACAGGTTTTGGCATTCATAAAAGAGGGAGGAAAAAATTAAGTAAATTTCCTTAAACGTTTAAGTTGTGTGGCAGGACCGTGAGCTGCTTTCAGAAGAAGTTGTTGGTGGTCTACGTATGGGTTGAGGGAAACCTGTAAGATTGACTTTCTGTAAAAGATGAATTTTCTCACAAGTTTGTGTCTTGTAAAGGTAAGGTTAAATACACAGCCAGCGGAGAGTAGAATCGCAGTCAAAATTCTGTGTTAATGCATTAAAGGAACACCTGTGGTGCAAAAGATATCATACTCTTATCCCGGCTGAAAACAATCTAAAATGCAGTTTCTGTATGGGAAGGTGCAGTGGTCGAGACCCTTGCTTGCCCTGGGAGTTGTCTAGAAAAGAGAACGTTGACCTCACGTCTGATTTAGCCCAGCAAACTGTGTCAGAATCATCATACCTAGACAGAGAGTGATTTGAACATTTTGAAGCAAGGCGAACAACCAAGAAATTATTATGGAGTTTGAGTCGTCAAGTGAGAATCTGACCTTGTCAAACATTGGATGGGGGATTATAGAGGTAGAGCCGGTGAAGAAAGCAAAGATCCTTAACGATGAAATGGCACATATCTGTTACATTGTTATCAAAAGTTTCTTATACGATCTCTTTGCTGGGTTTGGCATTGTGACGAACATCTTTAACCTGTACATATTCACAAAGCTCGGCTTCAAAGACACGGTTAACGTTACTCTGTTTGGCCTGACGTTGTCCGATCTGGGCAGTCTACTCATCTTGTTCTGGATGGGTATCTGCCACAACCCGCTGTTCACCTACTCCGATGTCCACTTCGACACTTTGTCCGTGACCTACCTGTCTGGGGGCTGGCCGAAGCTTTACTTCACTCGAGTCACCAGCTGGATCACCGCCTTTGTCGCCCTAGAACGATGCCTTTGTATCGCCCTTCCCCTCAAAGTCAAAACCCTCTTGACCCCTCGACGAGCCTGCTACTCTGTGATAGCGATATTTCTCGTTATCGGTTCCACAATGCCCCCAGTTTACATGACGACTGGTTTGGACTGGAAGTGGTACCCCAAACGCAATAAGACTCTTCTTGGTCTCGTCTTCACAGAAGGCAAACAAGGCGTCTACAATGTAGTCGTCGCTATCAACCTCTTCTTCACAGTCGGCTCTTTCTTCTTCGTCATTGCCTGTACCCTTATCCTGGTTATCAATCTGAAACTCAAAACGAAATGGCGGGAATCCGTGGCTGGCCCACCGGGAAAACAAGCGGCTGCAAGCTCTTCGCGTGATAAACGAGTAAGCACCATGGTCGTTTTTCTCTCCATCCTCTTCGTCGTCTGCCTCTTCCCCGGCACTGTTCTCTTCCTGGTCATGATCTTCGAGCCGGACTTCAACAAAGGCGAGGCCTACCACAACCTGTTCACCACGGTGTGGGGTGTCTGCCATCTCTTCGAGGCCGCTAACTCCTCTCTGAACATTTTTGTCTACGTCAAGATGAGCTCCAAGTACAAGCAGGTGTTTATAACGAAATTCTGGTGTCTGAGAAGTTGCGTGATGGACGAAGCTGAAGAAACGAAGAAGTTCTCGTCCCATCAGGACTCCACAAGGATCTCTTCTGTCTCCAACAACGATTGACCTCGTCTGTAAGGGGAGAAGTTCAGAACAGATCTGGTTTTGTGACGTCAAACTACGTAATTCTGGTCAACATCAACGGGACAGAGCTAGAATTCTATCATTATTATACCTCGTACTCTGCTTCTATGATTTCCTACGTTCTTTTACTGTCTCTTCGCACGTTGTACTCTTTTCTTTTCCTTTTCTGTTTTATCAACAACCCCAATCTCTTCTCTCTCACCCTCCCCGCCACCCACTTTTTCCTGTCTCCTTCTGTCCATGTCAATGTCGTTTTCTGTCTGTCTTTCTATCCCTCTCCTTATCTCCCCCTCTCTCTTCCTCTCTGCTCTCTTTCTCTCTCTCTCTCTCTCTC